AGGAAACTCAGAAGGAACATCAAAAACAGAAGAAGTTAATTGAAAAGGTACATAATATGAAAAAATTGATTGAGTATTTGCATGAGGAGGAGGTGGTGAAGGATAAAAAGTGATATTTAAGAGATTGCTTTAAAAAAATTAAATTTATATTAATAAATTATTTAAATATTTAAAAAAATAAAGTATAATTATATCTATATTTTTATTATTCATTAACAAGTTAATTAAAGGCTTTCGTTCTTCGTCCCGATTTTTTTCGTTCAACTTTTGCTATTATTTTTCTTCTTTTCTTTCAAGATCTTGTTCAATTTTACGTGCAAATGTTTCTTCTAATATGCCCATACATTTATTATGGTAATGTTTGTTCATCCAAAGAAGAATTATTTTCATCTGAATTAACATTTTTTTTATAATTTTCTTTCTGGTATATTAATATTTTCAGAAGTATTAGTTGAAGTTGAAGAGGATGATGTTATTGCAAAAGGTTTAATGTTCTCGTTCTTTATTTAAAAGATTGTCAAGTTCAGTACGAAATGGAATAACTATTGCTTCGCTACCACTTTGATTTTCTGCATCTTTTCCACTCTAAATTATTTTTGTTTAAATAGCAATAATAACTATATACCTTATATTCTTGCGACAAGTTTATGCATTTAATAAAGCATTGTTAAGCAATATAATTGAGAAACTAAATGTATACTATATTCTTGCCAAAGTGGTCCATCACCATTAATCCTTCATGTTCTTTTTTTAAAGCATCAAGAGCTTCTTTTTTCGCGTATCTAAAAATGGTAATAATGCTTTAGTGGCACTTGTTACCCATTTTATTACTGGTGAAAGAACAGGTTGTGAAGAATTGGAACTATTGGCAGCCATTATTAATGATTTAATATATTTGTCGTGTATTAAAGTTATTTAAAAGTTAAAGAATTAAAGTTAAATTTAACGTAATTGAATGCGTTATATTTAATTTGTTGTGGCTTGCAAGCTAGATTCGATTTTTATATTGCTCAATCAATCCAAATCAATCCAAATTGTATGTGAAGACACCCATAATAGATATAGTAGGGTAACGCTTGTCTGATATAGAAAGCTATTTTGCTTTCATAAATATAAAATATATATTGAAAAATTAATCATGAGGCTGTTTCCGCACGGGGAGCACTAAATCCTAACAGGTACTGATATCAAACGTAAAAAAAAGATATTAGTAAATAAGCTAATTAATATATATAATATGCTTACATTTATCATTATACGTACATTTGGCAGCAATGGAACCGACAATAATTTTTGTCACCGCAATTTCAAGAGACCATTAGTATCGAGAAGAATTATTATTACTTTGCTTGCTTGAGACTTCATGCCAAGACTCTGATAAAGAATATATAAAGGTCTCAATTGTTAAATTGTATATGTTTGTTGTTGGCGCTGGTGATTTAGCGTTGAAGCAGATTAATCATCTTTACGTGGAAAACTAATGTCATGTGGTATAATCTCTAAATCTCACCAAAGAAAATAATGAATTAAAGAAATTGATGAAGATAGTATCAGATGTAAGTTCACCTTCGTTTGGGACATACAAATTTATTTCTCAGAAACACATTCATATGCTCATATTAAATGGTGTGAAGAAAATAAAAATAAATCAGCTTATGATTGGTCGAAAATAATTTTCTCTGATGAAATTAGTGTGGAGATTGGAAAGCAGTCAGGCAGCCAAGAGTTTGGCGACATCCTGGAGAAAAGTTTAACGTTAATTATTTGGCGCTTACCTTTAAAAGCGGACGAAAATCTGTAATGGTTTGGAGATATTTCGCGGAAGGACCATTAATTTTTTGTGATGAATATAAAAAAACAACTTACCTCGAAATCTTAAAAACTCAATTAGTTCCATTCCAGAACGTAATTAGGGAATTAACTGGAAGTTACGCAATCTTTCAACATGACAATGCGCCGATACATACTGCGGGAAAATCAAGGGAAAATAAAATCGTGATTATTAATTGGCCGGCGAATTCCACAGACCTGAATCCGATAGAGAACATTTGAAAGATATTAAAGGACAATATTCAGAACTTTCTGACGACTGTGGACGAACTTAAGATTGCACTGAAGATGGTGTGGGAAAAACTTGATGTGGTCATTTTAGAACGGGTTACTGCATCAATGCCACGAAGAATTAATGTAGTATTGGGGGCCCAATTAAAAATTAAAATTTTTT